CACCTCCGCCACAGCGCCAGCACCCCCGGCATCCATCGCCGCTCCACCACCTCCATCACCCTTCATCAGCCCCATCACCTCCGCTTGCCCTTCCATCACCTCCATCACTTCCACTGCCCTTCCATCACCTCCGTCATCCTCCCACCAACTCCACCACCTCCATCCCCGCTCCGTCACCTCCAACACCTCCCTCCGACTCAGAGACATGGGCACAGTCACCTCCCGCTTTCTCCTCGGCTCCATTAAAATCAACTTTTTCCCCGCCCTGAGGCCTGTTTTGCTCATTACTTGGAGGAAGGAGCGGGTGGGGTGCTGGATCCTTGCACCCGGCTGACGGTCTCAAGCTAAACAGCACGCCATGCCAGGGACACTGGTTAAAAACAAATTCATTGCGATAGCAGTCGGCAACAATTACATGCCGGTGAGCAAGGTCGCAGCGGGAGGAAGGTCAACTTTTTCCCCGCCCTGAGGCCTGTTTTGCTCATTACTTGGAGGAAGGAGCGGGTGGGGTGCTGGATCCTTGCACCCGGCTGACGGTCTCAAGCTAAACAGCACGCCATGCCAGGGACACTGGTTAAAAACAAATTCATTGCGATAGCAGTCGGCAACAATTACATGCCGGTGAGCAAGGTCGCAGCGGGAGGAAGGTCCTCCGCTCGAAAGCAGCCTTTCCACAGCACAGCCACAAAATGAAAAATAACTCCATTTAAAAAGCCACTGAGTTGGTCAGCTGTCCTTTACGTCCCAGCAATGGATGGAGTAAAATATTAACTTTTCTGCACATATTTTGATTTTATCCCTGTGTGGGGCTGGAGTAGTAGCTCATGCCACAGAGCATCCCAGGGCAGGGATTTGGGCCGGGGCACACTTTTCTGCAGAAGACTGAATTTTGCCAAGATTCCTGATACTATACCCCTATTTGGAGGCTTGGCTCAACATTTGTGCCTCTTGAAAAATGGGCCTGTGGTGTAAGAGCGGCTTCCTACCCCTCCAAGCTGGAAACTGTGGGGAGCTGGTCCCTGCAGGGATGCCACTTCAGGGACACACAGACCCCAATTTTGCATGTACTGCCTTATTAACCACATGGCAATTCAATGATTAATGCCTTTTTTTAACAGGGAAGTTAAGCAAAGCCTCAGAAATAATCATGCTCTGAGACACAGAAGCACAGAGTAGGCGATGGCCCGGAACGTTCCTCTGTGGATCATCTCCCTGAGGGTTCTGAAAGCTGTTTTGAAGCTATTGATTTTTTTTTTTTTCTCCCCTCAGGTACAGAAAGGCTAGTCTTTATTTTTAGAGAAATCCTGAGGCAAGCCACGAGCTTGGTGTTATCTCTCCACAAATCCCAGCTGAGACTTTAGCTGCTCTATATAAACAGGGCCAGCATCCATGAGAACTAAAAACTTCCCCTAATGCCACTGGTGTCCCAGCCCCAACAGCAAATGAACGGCCAGTTCACACACCTGTAGGAAAAATTCTGATCCACTATATCAGAGTCAAAGTTTTAAAGGTGATAAAGAGGTGGGGGAGATTGTTCCCTAAAAAAATATTTGCCCAGTGGAAAAAAAACATCAAGAACCAAGAAACATTCATAGAAGTGTTTATTGCGTTAGAAATACTGTGCAGTTCATATCCCAGTATATTCACACATTCCCACACAGACACAAACAAGCAGGAGTTGCTTGAGAATTTGCCATGAGAATTCACCTTCACGCTGGCTAAAGCAAGCTGCAACATAAGGCATCTCTCCTGCAGTGCTCAAGCCCTTGCTTCTTTTATTAGTCTGAATATAGAAACATATTGGTTACTAAAAAAAAATTAATAAAAATCTACAGTTAAAGAAAAAAGCAGTGAATACATAGTCTGAAAGCCAAAAGTGTTCTACTGTGCTTGTCCCTTATTCTCAGTCCTTCGATATTTTCCAGGACGCTTCCTGATAGGAGTTTAGCTCATCTATCAATTTGTGAACAGCAGTACTTATGGATATATTTTTTTTCCTAGTAGGCTTTCACCAGGGATCTGTAGAAACACTCAGGGATTCATTTAATAAATTTACATTCAGGGGATTTAGCTGTGCGAGGGTGCACCCAGAACAGGTCTGCTCAAGACAGGCGCTGGCGCAGGTGTAGTTCTGAACTTTGCATCACCTCGAGAGCCCTTCCGAAGGCAGCTGGAGCAGCGGGGAGAGCCCGTTCCCACCAGCACAAGGAGCTGAAGGCATTGCGGAGAGCTCTGCCAGATGAGCTTGAAAGGCTTTCACCCCGTGGGAAAAGGCTGGCCAGGTTTCTCGGGGAGGAACCTGTAGTTTTATGGCTATTTGGTGGACAAATGGAGTCACTGGGCAGGGAAAAGACCCCCATCCCAACACTCTGCATTTCTTCTCCCAGCCCAAAGCATCCTCCTCCCACCTGCAAGGCTGCGGTCCCCCCAGACTTCCCCACAGGGATGATTAGGCTGGACCTCTGGTGAGCTTTTCTGCAGGCAAGGGCAATGAAGCTGGTTAGGAGGGGCTGCAAGGAGCCCAACAAAGCCAGCTTTATCCCTCCCCGCTTGCATTTACACAAAATGAACGAGTCCCCAGTGAAGCGACACAGTGAAAGGGTTGTGCAATCTTCTAGAAAGGAATAGCAAAAGCAGGCTGAGCGTCCGACTCCAAGGGCTGACTTTCTTCTGCAGAGCAATGCTTCTTCCTGCAGCTTATGGAGAGCTCTTCACAGGGGAGCGCTTCTTAATCTGGAAGCGGTCGCATTTCTTGTATTTCATCGTCAGCCCATACTGAGGGGTGATGTCCACCTCCTCGCCAGGGCAAAGACTGATGTCCAGCTGCTGCAGCACGGTGGCCAAGAAGAGGAACACCTCCCACCGGCCGATGGACTCCCCGATGCATCGCCTCTTCCCCAAGCCAAAAGCCAACACTTTGTCGCTCTCAGTCCTGTTTATTTCGGTCCCCGCAGCATTGAGGAACCGCTCGGGGTTGAAGGTTGAAGGGTCCTTCCAAAGTTTCCTGGAGCAGAAGGGAGACACATATTTTCAACCCCTTGGGCTGGGGACAGCAATCAAAAAAATCTCCTCTCAAAGAGAAGCATTGCAATGTTATCTCATTTCACCATTCAAGAACTTTGGCAACCTCTATCCTGGATGTAAAATGCCAACTACATGTCAGACCCCATCAGCTCAGTCAATTGAAACCTCTATTTCAAACTCAGGTTGTGTTTGCTTGTGCAGATCCCAGAAATGGATTTAATTCAGCGTGCAGTAGCTAGACATCCTGCAGTTTCAGCCAAAAGGAGAGCACAGAAATCAGTCAGCAGCTCAGGAAGGATGGGAGACCTGAGGGGTTTTCCACCTTGAATCCTCCCAGACAAACCTCCCAGCCTGTCCCAGTACAACTGCTGGGCAGTGCCAGGTGGGATTTTCCAGTGGCTTAGCTCAGATTTTCTGCTTGAATATGGGTAATCTTCTGTGGGCCTAAAGACAGTGTGTCCATCACAATGCTCACCAGCACATGCGGAAGGAATATTGTAACGTTTCTGCACTGCTGGATTATTTGCATACAAATATCTTGAGCTTCTGATCCAAAATACCTCATCTGGGGAACCACCTTCTGTATCAAGCCTTAATAAACTCATTCCTCCCCCAGGAGGGTCTCTGCTGGAGGGCAATGAAGGGGTGAGGTGGGGCTTTGGTTTCCAGATCCTTTTTCATTCACCAAAGCTGTTTGTCAGCAATAACAACATGAGTCTATTGAGTTTAAATGAGAGTCACATCAGGACTTTTTTCTCCCTGAAAGAGCCAATCAGGCAGTTCCCACTGAGCACATCCAGAGCCGTCACCCCAGATCACAAGGGCTGCTTGGCAGGAGGATCTACCGATTCCTGATTATTCAGCAGCCCAAGCTGCCAGCCCTTGCACGTACATGGAAAGTCCAGTGCATTGAGGACATCACCAGGTTACTGCATATAAATTGAGTAAGATCTGGTGTTGGGGAGTTGCTAAACCAATGACCAACTCAGCCCAATGCAGCTCCGTGCCCAGGAGAGCCAAGAATGAGCTCAGCAAACCCACATGATTTTTGGTCCAATCTCTATTTTCTTGCCTTCACGACCCATTTGGCTTTTGGGGTGTTGCTCTAAAGGCTCAGAATGATCTTAATGACAAGCAAAGCCACGGCAGTTGAATAAGCATGGGGTATTTGGTATACTCACTCATCATGGTTCACTTGCCACTGGTTGATAAACACACAGGTATCCTTGGGGATGTAGTAACCGTTCAACACCGTTGCTTTTGTTGTGCTGAAAGAAATATGGGCAGAGGGGAGGATTAGTTAACAGGAGACCTGCAGCTTTGTGGCAAAACAAAGCTTTAACCCAAGTAATTCAGGCTATGCACTGGAATATTTCCCCATAGTAGGGATTGATTCCCAGGAAATTATCTGCCTAAATGGCACCTCTCAGAAAACCACTCCAAAAAAACCCACCCAAATAACAAGTCAGCTGCTCCAGTCCATACCTGTGTGGGATGGTGAAGGGAAGGAAGGAAGAGTGCCTGAACATCTCCAGGATAAAAGCTTCTGTGTAGGGCAGCTTGCCTCGGTCTGACAACCTCGGCCTCCTCTCCCGGCCGATGGTCTGGTCTGTGGGAGGCGAAGGAGAGTGGGTTGGGGTCAGCCCTCTCCAGAGAGGTTTTGGCCCCAGAGGAGGCAGGTTCATGAACTTACCTAGTTCCTCCTGGATCTTCTTTTGGATGTCAGGGTACAAGGCAGCATACATGAGGCTCCAGGATAAGGCAGTGGTCACGGTGTCAAAGCCTGGATGAACATGAAAAAGGCATTTAGTTACCAATATAGGACAAGCGATCATGTTTTCACCGCTCCTATCACTCTAGGTGTTTGTCTTGAAGCGGTTCTCCCATCAGCTGTTACTGAAAAGTCATCTGCCCTGGTTGCTGCTCAGGAAGGTGCCCAAGAGACCCGCAGCGGCTCCAAACACCCAAGGATGGCCAGCGTTTCACCCCAACAGCTCCAGTTGGCTCACTCAGCCTCCCAGCAGCAAAGCTTTACCTTCAGAAATGTTCTCACCTGCCCCAAAGAGATCATTGACGATGTTGATGATCTTTTCATTGGAGAGTGGGACGTGAAAATCCTCCCCTACGCTCTTCTCCTGGCAGTGCTCAATCAGCGAGTCGGTGATGTCCCGGATGTGGTCCTGGGAAGAGCCGGTGGGTAAGGGACGTCAGGAATGGCCAGGGCAGGGGAAACCTCCCCCAGCCAATGCCAGCTTCTAGGGGGATTAACTGCAGTTTGGAGAGCTCCAAGGAGCTTTCCTGGGCAGAGCTGAGGGGACAAGGGAGTACCTGCTTGCCCCCACTGCCAGGCAGACAGCATTTCTGACAGTTGTAGGCATCTCTACCTGCATTCGAGCTCTTACCTTGTCAAAGCTGGTGTAATGCTCCCGGACAATTTTTTGCACAAACAAGTTGAAACGCATGTTGATGTCCTTAAAGAGCTGCATGGTGCGGCTGGGAAGATACTGGAGCACTGGGATAAAGTCAGCAGGGTTGCCAGAGGCAGCTACATCCCCAAACTCATTGTTGAAGTTCACTATATTGAGCAGCTCCTGGTCATTGTGGTCGTAACGCTTGCCAAAGCAGATGGCACAGATGACATTGGCCACAGAGACCACGAGGTACTGAGTAAGATCAAAGCTCTTCTTCTCTTCCATCAGCTGCAGGAACTTGGTGACCAGGTAGTC